CCCGCCGCGGCTGGCGACGGGGGCCCCGCCCCGCACCGGGAGGCGACGCGGAAAGCCTAACTGAGATCGTTTGCGTTGAGCTTGGACGGTGTCGACGGCCGCAAAGACTTAACTGCACGGGTGAGACCAGCCGTGGCCGAGACGGAAGCAGCCGAGTCCCGGCGACTTCGGTGCAGGCGGGGCCGAGCTGCGCCGAGGGCAGCCGGCGCCCCGCGCTGGACACACACCCAAGACCCGCCGCCTGCCCGGTGCCAGGCTTCGCCGTCAGCTCCGGCGAACCCGCACCTGCTAACTCATTTGTATCATCGCCATTTACTAAGGAAGAAACTGAGATGTCTGGAACCGCTCAAAAGAGCTCGCCCTGAGGACCCGCAGCCAAGCCCCCCGCCAGACCCGAGCAGCCGCCGCACGGCTACACTGGGTTGGCTCTGGCCGCCTACCCTTGACCCCCCACCCCACTGCTCCCCACTGAGGCGTTGCTGTCAGCTGAACAGGCAGCCAGGAAAAAAAAAAAAAAAAAACTAAATCCAAAACCAGAGGGAGAGACTTGATCGCTGGGCCTACCTGGCCTGAAGCCAGGTTCTGGTATTGATCGGCCTCAGTTGAGAACAGGCTAACTGGTGTGAGAAGTGGAGAAATTAGCAAGCAGCAGGGAAGAAGGGTAGCTTAAGTAAGTAGAATTTAGCAAGAAACAAACATTGAGCCATGAGTTCCAACTGAGATCCAGATTCTTTCTCACACGAACAGCTGCCAACACTTTTCTTTGGTTGGGGTGTGGGGGGACGAGTCTGATTCAGATGGACCCCAGGACGTTGCCTAGGAACTTAACCACAGAAATATACCTCCAGCCCCCAAAGTCATACTTTTGAGATCACCTCCTTTCACTTGTAAAAAGTGTTGACTACACACAGACACACGCAGGAGAGCCCGCCAGGGACAGTTATGTAAGATAGGGTCCTTAAGCACATAAGTCCAGCTGATTAGTTTATTGGTTTGTTTGGCTGCTGTTATTCCAGAAGATAACCAATTACACAATCTCAGTTCAGGCAACCTGGCCAAGATAACCCCAAATATCATTCATTGTGGAAGGAGAAATGCACACTGCAGGAAAGAATCTAAAATGTCTTTGAAGCTAGTCAATCAACAATTTTTTAAAATTTTTATTGTAAAGGTAATATACAGAGGGGTTACAGTTACATAAGTCAGGTATTGAGTACATTTCTTAACCATGTCACCTCCTCCCTCATTTTCTTCATTTTTCCCTTCCCAACACAACGAACAGTTCATTTACAACCAATTGTCCAGTAAGTATCACTGCTGAATTAGTTCACCCTTGTCTCACCATTTCTGTGCTTTCCCTTCCCCTCCCCAAATCAGATAAACTTACATACAAGACAAAGGGTACAGAAATGAAAAAGTGACCAAAAAAGGAATAATAGATTTTAAAACAACACAAAGGAAAATCAAAAACCTCTTGTTTCAGTTTCTTGGAGTTCATTTCGATAAGCCTCATTTTACATGATCATTTGTACATAGCTATTAAGCCCTTATGACCCTCTCCTAAGAACAATTATTTCTTCACACACTTCTTGGTGGCAAGGTGTTCAGGTGGCAGGACTTCATAGGGCAAAGGGGAGATTATATTTCCAGTGCTGAAAGACACAGCAACGAAGTCATACATCTACTGAGGACCCACAACAGGAAGGTGATTCTTCTAAGAACTAAGGGAAAAAGTAAATAACCGGCTTGTTTCCTGCTCTCCAGGAGGCATCATTTAATTCACCCAATATTGACTGAGTATCTAGTATTGTGCCAGGAAAGGTACTGAGTGTTGGAGACTCAGCAGAATAAGAGATCCACTAGAGAGTCATTTAAATCAGCACTCAGAGATGTGAGATGGGCAATACAGTCGTTGCCTGGAGAATCTTGCTTAAGAGATAAATTTGCAACCATTAAATAATTGGAAGTTGTAGTTAGTTAATCCGCTGCTAAATTAGGTAGTGCAAACTGTATTACTGCAATAACAAATTTAAAACTATGAACAAATTAACAAATCGCTGAACCAAAGCTTTGTGGGAAAAAAATCTGACATTTTTTCCCCTGTTTTGAAGTAGGGTAGTGGTACTGAAAAGACACTGGACTTGGGAGTTATGTTTGTTCTTAACATGACTGGGAAAATAAAAACATGACTGGAGGCAAAGACAGCAGGCTGGAAATGTGGCTTCGTGGTAGAGTGCTTGCTTAGCATGCATGAAGCCCTGGATTCCATTTCTCAGTATCACATAAACAGAAAAGGCCCGACGCTGTGCTGTGGTTCA